AAAGGATATGTCTATCGGACTCGAGTAGATAAAATTGACATAAAATTTGGAAGATCATTTTTAGAAAGAGTCTATTCAACGAATGCAAAGTTCGATGTTCGATTCACTTTTAATCGCGTGGCAATGAGGAGGATGCATCAAGCTCTTAACAATCCCGACGTGAACTTTAACCGGTTGTTTCCTCATGATCATCATAATCAGGAAAATTATGAAGGTGAAAATAATGAACAAATAACCGAATTTTATACTTCCCAAGACGAATATCAAAAACGTGCGGTAAAAATCATTAAATCTGGAGAACATTATCCTTTACCTTTTATTATCTTTGGTCCTCCAGGAACAGGTTAATATATTTTCACATTAATATAAAATTTTTTAATAAAAATACCTTGATCTGTATCCAACGGTTCAAGATATCAAACAAATCATTTATTTATATTTCTGGAATTAATATTATAGGCAAATCTGCCACCGTTGTTGAAGCAATATTACAGCTCCGAAATGATACAAAAAACAGAATTCTTGCTTGTGCGGCGTCAAATGCAGCAGCAAATTTATTGTTGAGAAAGTTAAGTGAACATTTGCCACCCGAAGAAATGATTCGAATCTATGCTACTTCACAGAAAACAAATAAACTAGATTCAGATCTTCATCGCTACTGCAATATATGTCGTGGAAAGTTTTATATTCCGACATTAACTTATATCGAGGAACGACAGGTTGTCGTGACTACCTGTAATACCGCAGGATCACTGTATGCGCTTGGAAGGACGAAACCGTATACACATATTCTTGTTGATGAGGTATTTATTATAGTATGACTTATAAATACAAAAAATGTTTATATACATATTCTTTGATATGTACACTATATTTTACTACAAAATAGGCAGGACAAGCTCTTGAACCAGAAATTGTGATTGCGTTACAAAATGGTTCTGAAGACACAAAGATCATTTTAGCAGGGGATCCTAAGCAACTAGGTCCATTTGTATATTCTCCAACTGCAAGAAAGCTTGGCCTTGGCCAATCTCTGATTGAACGACTTGCAAAAACCAATTACTATGATTTTAGTAGTACTTGTAAATATGGAGTGAAATTATTAATAAACTACCGTACACACCCGGAAATCCTTAGCTTTCCAAATGCTACGTTTTATGAAGATGAACTTCAACCCTGTAGAGACTCAAATCTTACCAATAGCTTAATTAATTTCTCGTACCTTCCTAAGAGAGGTTACCCACTCATGTTCTGGAAAGCTAACGGTGAAGAAGAACGTGAAGGTCAATCACCATCTTGGTTCAATGCTCGTGAAGCCGGTTATGTATTAGCAGTTGTAAGGCAACTTTTGAAGGAAAAAGTTAAACCAGAAGATATTGGTATTATTTCACCTTATGTTAAACAGCGCGAAAAGATCAATAAATTATTAAATCATAAGGGTATTAACGGGGTGGAAATTGGAACTGTGGAAAAGTTTCAAGGTCAAGAACGACGCGTGATCATTATTTCTACTGTTCGAACAGGTTCTATTGGATTTCTGGGAGAGCCGGGACGAGTATGTGTTTCTTTAACCCGTGCACAAGCTCTTTTGATAGTTATAGGGGATCCGAAAACATTGATGTCAGATAAACTTTGGGGAAAATGGTTGGAGAAAGTAAGAGAAAATGGTGGATATTCAAAGCAACGTTTTCCTAACAAAGCCTGGTATGACTAAATATTACCTGCTAAAACTTTGAAAATCCTAATCAAAGTTAATATTTGGAGGGTATGAATTTAATGAATTTAATCCAAGTAGACTATCCATGCATTTACCTTTTGTCTAGTAACGCATTGATATATATGTATATTATGCGTTGAGCAAATTTGATATCCAAATAAAAAGTTTAAACTTGAAATCTCATTAGGTTAGGGTAGGGATAGGCACGACATGAACCCACGAACTAAGCATCCCCAAAATTAACTACGCTAGGTGCTTAAGACTACTGATATTATAACAAAAATCTATTTGTAAAAATATTCTATCAATATTCTATCAATATGTTGTATATAGTATTGAAATCAAAACCGAAACGCTCTGTAATGTAAGGATATTGGTTTATAAATGAACTATGAAATACCATAATAGTATAGAATAACATTAAAAGAAAAAAGGCATCCATACAAAAAAATTGATTATACGTTAGTAAACATGTAATATATTAATTATTTTAATTTATTACTTCAAGAATAGAATTTGTAGTAAGACTTACTATAATTCGTTTCATTATAATCTTGGCCATATGTATTTTTAATATCTTAAATAAATTCTAATAATATTTTTCGGGTTTACTAAATTCACCATAAACGTTGAACCCTATGGTTTGTTATGTCTCAAAAAATTGCTTATCAGTCAATACTTGGCGCTCAAAGTAAAGATATTTAATGCTCTCAAAAACCGCCTTTACAGTAATTATAACCTTTAACTTCTAATCTTAATCCTAAATTTTATTAGCA